CGTACGTACATACACACATCATCAAAAAAATTGGCTAGCATGCTACTAATATGTTAAAACGTGGAAATATAATGAAAATTCCGATTTCACTTTTCGACCCAATTACAATAACTTCCTAATGGGAAGTTAAAAATTAAAATTTCAAGGTACAACTAATACGTTAATATAAATAATTTATAAAACTTAAAAAGACATTTATTACTCTGTAATATTTGCGATATTTTCTGTAATATAAACAACTATAACTATTTACAGCGCAACATGTTACAAGTATTTCAATATTGAGGATGGTAATTTTAATAAGATTTCCTAATTTCCTTATTTTGATACAGTTGCGACACATGATGCTATAAGACAAACACATGTATAATTTATCACATTTTTCTGGGATTTCAAGTTATTAGAACCGATGTTTGTTGCCGACAAAAATAAAAAAAGTAACTGAATTAACTAAATAAAAAGAAAATTCGATTACACATTTCCTCTGATAAAAATATTGATTATTATTAGAAGATTAACAAGAAAAATGAAAAACAAAAATTAAGCTATTGAAAAATTAGTTTGTATTCACAAAAGTAGCTTAAAAACTAACAGTCAAATGGTTAACAAAATACAATTATTCTACCTAACAAACGAATTATTAATTTAACAATTCGTCATTAAATTAAAATTTATTACGAATTTTAAAAACCGAATATTTTTTTTAAGTTATACAGGTATTACGTTTTAATGCCGATAAGAATGAAGAATGAAAACATGTTGGTTCTTGTTTTATACAGAAATTGTGCCAAAAATTACCATTTATCAGTGCTGTGACACATTTGGACGAATTCAAAGAATAAGGAATATGCAAAGTTTTGCAGTCAGTGCAACCGAGAATATGACAGCAGCGCGACAGGCAAATTATGTATAGGAGTGACTCGGGGAATAACCGAGCGCACCCAGTAGATTTCATTATAATATATCTTTCGATAATAGTGGAAAGTTTTCTTTTTAAGGTCTACAAATACCTAAACAACTTTTCCTGCTGCTCTAAATTTAAATAATTAAATATAGCCAAAAGTGTTTGACTTTGTGTACTAAATTTGTGTGTAACTTTTACGATTAAATAAAAAAAATACAAAAGAAAGCTCCCGATTTTATTACAGAAATAAAAATTAGACGTCACGGCACATCAATAATGTTTTTTATTGAAGGAACCGAAAATGAAGGTAAAGCAAGTCTTTATATTTTTAAAACGACACTCTGTTCGAAACTATTATCTTGTTTTTAAATTCAGTCACGAGAATGACCGAATGAACCTTCGTTTCGTCACACTATACACGAATTGGCCTTATTCCGATAGAACGGAAAGAACTGACGAATCGCAAATTTGACCGAATGAAGCGTCGTTTTATATGCAAGAACGTCGTCCGGTCTTGCCAGGTTGTTTTACATAAAAATAGACTGAAAAATATCATTATGATTGTCATACGTGTATGTGACTATATTCAATTATTTTTATATTTTGTAAAACTGTTATAGCAGCAAATCTATGGAGTAGTAAAGAGCCTCCTTCTACATAGGCCTACTGTTAATAAAACAGAATGTATAATAGCTCTTTGTTGCTAATCTGCAACTGAATTCAAAGATAATAACTAATAAAATTTAATTGAAGAAGAAACCACCATTCTCGCCTACAACAAGGTACATACAAACGTGGTAACTTTATACTGGAATACATCCAAAATGTTTTTGCCAATTTTTATAATGCAATAAAACTTATTTTTAGTAAAATCTAAAAGGGAATAATATTCATTATGTCATATATTTTTCGGAAATAAACTGACAAATAAAATGAAATAAATTAAGTAAGGTTTGTGTACTGGATGCATTCTACGGATATTTTTAGATTTGTGCCATTTTTTCTCTGTATTTCTTAAATTTATGTAACGAAAATTAAAAAGAAAAGGAACTTATGTAAATAAATAGTAATAAAAAGATGGTTTCTCCTTTCTGTCCTACAGAAATAACTAAACCAAAAACAATATTGCCTTTTTGGCACATCAGATAATTGTAATCCTAACTAATGATTACTATAATAAAATGATCGCTTATGTATTTCGAAAAAAATGCCTTTCATCTAAGTCTCTTACGTTTTAAGACGTCTTTTTTGTTTAAAGAAAACAATGTATAAAAGAAAATAAAAGTTAATCAATTAATTAATATTAATAATAAAGTTTACAAGCTATTATTCTTTATAATAATAAATGCTCTAAAAACGATAACCAGCTGTAGCCGTTTTACGGCCCGTTTGCCAGTCGTCGATCACTGCACAGCAGCAATACAAACCATGTGACCATGCAATCGAACACGAAATTCGACCATGAAGAGCGAAATTTAATACATCAACGGACACGATTGACTAATACAATAAATACCGACCAAAATGGAAATGTTTTGTTTTTTTAAATATTTAATAAAAATTATATAGGAAAGAAATATATGACACGCCGTTTTACTACAACAAATTGTTTTTACAGCCTAATATAAAATGAATAAAATTGAAATAACGAAGACATGGAGACGCAGGGAGTGAATGGGGACAATTGGAGTGTTAGTTGTGTAAATGAGAGGAACGTTGATCCGAGGAGGGGGCTGAATATAGTAGGGATGAAGTTGTAGAACACTAACAAAGTGTTTATTTGAGTTTGTAAAAATTTTTAAATAATTCATATTCGACATCATATTCTACTAGTAAAAAACGGCGTGTCCCAAAACCGTCAACTTTCAAAATTTTACGATAGCAGGGAATAAAAAATTATTTTTTTTACGTATATTCAAGGCGCAAAAGAAAAAAATTGAATCAAGGTATAAATAAAATTTGAAAAAATGGATAACAATAAAGAAGAACTTACGATTTTTTTTTTCGTAATGTAATGTTTAGGCCACTTAAACGATCACATGTTCGCTCTTATTCTGCAATAGATAGAGATAGTCTTTTTCTCTTTCGTGTCCAACTGCGACTGGAGCCTTAACAGTAATTGAGCACCATGGAAGGACTGGATTATAAATAAAGTTTTTACGCTACAGAGACACTTTTACGCTACGGTTTTCGATTTTTACGTTCAAAAAAGACGGCACACTCCACTTGCTGTTCCACATTAAAAAAAAAAAAACTACTAACACTTAATTCGCTCATTTTCTTTTACGACACATCATAACAAAATCCTTTACGTACGTACCACGAAAGAAAAGTGTATAATACACGCGGAACTTACAAAATACAAATCACAAATTCCATGCATTAGAAAAGCAAAATAATGATCAATAGTCTGCATACGTAAATCCCCAAGATGTTGTGGTTTAGGCACATTAACAGTATATTCCCTTCAATTAGGTTTTGGCACGGTTAAGAGAAATTTCCGACGAAATTAAAATATAAATTTACTTAATATGCTTAAAAAATTAAAATTAAACTTTCTTCGCTTCGCTCACTAAGTACCTAAGAGGAAATCAACAACTTACTGTCCTAGACACTGACTGAATCCGAATTTTTTGAGTCGTAGCCTCGCGCTCGTTAAAATTAATTTAAATACGTCAAAAATATTACCGTTAACGTAAAAGAATGGGTCCCATGTATATATCACCTACAGTTAGTTAGTTAGTTAGTCGGTGAGCGGCGCTAAAAGACTTGATTGTGTGAGTATTATCGCGAAACCCGAACCGATTGGTTGTGTTATCAGTTGGATTCCGTCCGTGTGGTATTTGATCCTGTGGCGCCTGTTGAGGTGCAACTACTCGCGCCTTGGAACAGCAATGGAATGAGAAGAGTGTAACAGTAACTGATTTGATAACGACGACGACGACGACGACGATCAATTGCTCTTCTTATTTATTTATTTTTATTTTTTGATAACTTTTAGTAGTTCGGGAGTCTACGCTGTCGAAACCCTCATTTGATCCCGGAATACTGTTCCGGGTAAAGGTGCACTCCTTCCACGCTAAAGACGGAAACATCTGAAAAAGAAATTATTAAAACGTATAATAAATGTTTTCATTCAATTCGTAAGCTTTCGACCAAAAATTACACTCACCATCTGGCAGTTCTAACAATTTTTTGGGAAGTCCGTTGAAATACGGATGTTGCATGGCATCTTCAGCGCCAATTCTCCTCTGCGGATCGAGCTGAAGGAGTGAAGTAGCCATGGCTTCACCCTGCACAACGTCGTGTAATCGGGGCCAATAATGACCCAACCTTCTTGGTCGATAGTAACCTAGTTTTTGACTTTTGTAACCGGGAAGTCGCGTGACTCCTGGCCAATCTTCTTCTGATGGCGTCCCTAATACCTACAAAAAAAATAGAATTACATTTCCTTTGGACTTGGTTGGGGAGATGCTACATTTTATTTGTACCATTGACCATCGTCCACCAACCCTCTTGATGCAGTGTTATTAATAAAGCGGGTGCATTTTGCAGTTTTTAAAATTGGTCCCTATTTTGAGATGATGCTTAAGAGTAGCTTAAGTGATTGTTACATTTCTCACCTGAAGGGTTAAGACGTGGACTTTTAAACATCCCTCTTTTAAAGACCAAAAGGCGAAGAATAAAGAGTAATATCTGATATGTTCTGACCTTAAATATTTTGTCAAGTTGGTCGTAAGTATCACGAACTCCTGGGAAGATGGCCAAGCCGGTGATCATCTCGACAAAGATGCACCCAACTCCCCACATGTCGAGGGAGGTGGAGTATTCGGTGCTGCCGAGTAGAACATCGGGCGGTCGGTACCATAACGTCACAACTTCGTGGGAGTACGTATGACTTGGCACCGACTTCGCCCTGGCCAGGCCAAAGTCTGCCAATTTAAGTTCGCCGATTTCGCTTATCAATAGATTTTGCGGTTTGACGTCACGGTGCAGCACGCGCCTCTTGTGACAGTATGCGAGACCACGCAACAACTGAAAGAGGAACAGGCGCACGTTGCGGGGTTCCAAACCTCCACTGTGACGTTCCAGGTACTGCGACAGATCTGTATGCTGTAAAACATTGAACCAATGAGATCGTCTACGTTATGATGGACCTTATATTTGAGAAAGTTGTGTGGACTTTGAGTTTAAGGTTTCCTGTACCTAGTTTATATACACTGCATTCTAGGTAATTCAATAATCAGTATCGTCACATTTCTATTAAGAGAAAAATGAAATAAAACTAAAACTGCAGAGTAAAATAACAAAGAAAAAATACTTGAGATCCCTCAGCGTCTTTAGAGTTAAAACATGCGCGAAAATGTTAAAATTAAAGGTTCATACTTCAAGCAGCAGTTGTCAACTTGGGCATATTTTAACTTTCGCTCATTCTCAGGTATACCAGAAAAGGGTACAATAAGAAATAGGCAAGATAGGTTGATGGGACACCTTCTCAGGCATGATGGGCTATTTAGAGACATATTGCAAACAGAAACAGGAGCTAAGAGAGGGGGGGTTGACATAGATCAGGTTACTGTTCACAAATAGTTAAGTATGTGAGATGTTTCAGTTTTAGTTTTAGGAAAATGTGAACATTAGCTTGGGATAGAAAGAAATGAAGGTGCGTGTCCAAGCAGTTTTAGGACTGACGACCTCATGATGATGATGATGATGATATGAAAGGGAGTATACATGCAATGAACAACTTATTATTATTGGAAAAACTTTCTTTCCTGCAATTAGCCCCATTCCACTTTTATCATACACATGTAGTTCTAATCGATAAACTTACCACGTATTCAAAAACAAAGGTGAGGGTTTCTTTCGTGTGAACAATATCGTGTAAAGTGACAATGTTCGAGTGTTTCAGTTCTTTTAGTAACGATGCTTCTCTGATAGCGGTGAACGGTGCTCCTTCTTCCTCTTGAAGTCTTATCTCCTTCAGAGCCACCACCTGGTTTTTTAAACTTAAACCACAAAATTAATAACCCCACAAAATGTAAACTGAACAATAAATAAACAAAAATTCAAACAAACAGAATTTCAATCGAAACTAAATCGTAATTGAACAATCAAAATTAATTAAAGTTTTATTTGAGATAGGTACTAAATAAAACGAAACTTACTTGCTGTACCCCTTATATACTGTAGCATATGATCCTTCTCCTAATTGTTCTAATTTTATATACGCTTCCGACTTTCCAAACGGGGAATCACCCTTCAAGGAAAAAAATTTATATAAGACTGTAATAATAAAAAGTTTTAATAAAAATGTGGCGAAGTTGTTTCATTCTGAGACATTTTCAGTTTCTCTTTTTTTAGTGATTTTCGAATTTTCATTTTTCCTAGGTATGTACATTTTTTTAATTTGAAGAGTGAAGCGCGACACTGTAAATAGGTGCCATATAATGATGGAGTTGTACATAATTACAAATAACATTTTAATAATGACTATAGTTGGAGCGTTCCAAATTGGCATAGTCCACAATAAAACTGTCGCATTTACTTTCTTCTTTCAACTTACTAACTTAGACTAGAGCGGTTGCTGACAAAACGTCTATTTTTACTTACGACAGACGTAGTAAGGAATATCGTAAACATAGGAAAGAGATGTCAGGTAAGAATTGCAGCGGACAGTAATACAGAAAAAGGAATTACATTACACTAATTAATGTGTAACAGAAAGGGATGCAGACAAGTAGAATTTGAGCATGTCGCAGCATCGCACTTTAAAGAAGTTCAACATTCATAACTTAACAAAAAAGATACGTCCACTCTCACAGATAATTTATTGCGGACTTTACCAATTTTGATCTTTCCAATTATACACATTATTTCCTTGAATTCGTTAATAAAATTGTGGCATTTGTGACGCCATTTGATCGAAAAACTAATGAATTCAATTGTAATGTAGGTCAATCCAATAGAACTGAATTAAAATGTATATTTTTCACAAATTACTTTCTAAATGTAATGCTCATTGAAAACTGACAATAGATTCAAAAAGAAAACAAGTTGATTATAATTAAGTCATAACGTAATTAAAACTTTTCGTATAAATAATTGGAACTGTTAAGTTAGTAATTTTATTACTTCCTGTAATTCCACGTCCTGTAATTTCTATTAGAAATTTTACTAATCCGAAATATTTAAGTAATAAAGAATTACCTTTTATTGTAGTAGCTACTCTCTAACTCGTTAAAATATTATAAGAATATTACCAAATTTATGAATATATCCGTTGGGGTTACAATTTTAGCATTCTACAAAACCTTTATTTAATTCAAATATTTTTTGACTTACCCCAAAAGCAGAAAATCGTTTAGTTCTCCGGTGTTCGCTTCCCTGATTTAACAAAACTTCTGACTTAGGTCTAGGAGGCTTCCGAGGTCGAAGTATTACGCGGGTTTCTTCTCTAATATCATCATCTAATAGTTTACTATCTGATGAGACCGACAACTGTCGTTTTACCCTGTCGTGTCCACCTACTGTGTTCCAATCTGTAAAGACAAAAACACCCTTCATTCCATTCTTTGCTTTTCCTCGCCGTCAGTAGCAGAATTTTAACCCAGAGGTATAATTTTATAGAGACATTAATAATACAATTATTCTGTTGCTCAATATGTGCATAAGGAGTAGTTTCATGAACGGGACGGAAACACATAACAAGAAGTTAGAGAGATGGAAGCGTGAGCTACGAAATCAATGCTGCCTACAGTAGGCGCTTCAAGAGACAGAATAGATAAAGGAGAAGACATAGCTGTCAACCGTTCGATCTGGTAAGCTTGGGCTTGAATAGCAAGACGCTTTGCCACGTAATACAGAAGAACCTCTACAACTCGAATATCAAGGGAGACGCCAAGAAATTCGAGTTACAGAGTTTTCGACTTATGAAGGATTAATGATTCAACTTGAAGAGGTTAATAGTCATTTAGGTAATACTATTTATTACATACTCCTAAATTGTTTTCTAAGAAACAATGGTGTACTTACATTGTCAGTAAATCCTTAAAGTAGATAACTTAGTTTTCTTAGAACTATAGACGTAATAAGTATCAAATTATTGAGTTGTAAAGGTTGTAAAATAAAACATTGCTATGTTCGAGATACAGAGGTCCATGGCTTGCAGGGACTCATTGATTATTTCGAATTATAGAGGGTTGAGATTTCGAGTAATTGAGGTTTGAGGGCGTGAAGGGAAGAGAAGAAAACATTTTTTCGAGTTTTGGAGGTTTTCGACATCGAGGTTCGATTTAAAGAGATTGTACTGTATTTGTAATTGATATTGTATTATATAACATCGATGATCCAATATTTTCGTTTTAATGCTGACGTTAATACATCAATTCTTTGAATAATTCCTTTTTTTCGGTTATTCTATGCGGACTATGCAAAAGTGAATGGAATCCAATATTAAAACGACTGATTTTTGATTAAAACATGTTAGGAAATTGTTTGGTAAAATACAACCACTTTTCCGCATGAGTGACCTTTTTTCGTCCCATTATGCCTCATTTCCACCACACCTACATCGATAAAACTCACTGAAGGCGTCCACAAGTCTAGGGCCATGACGTGTTGCCATAATTTGTAATGTAATTTCTTCTATCTACAAGCTTACAAATACATACATGTGCCGTACCTATACATATAAGGCGTACAATACACACAATCAAAGCGATCGACCGAACACGCAGGTTTTATAAAGTAAGGGGAATGAATATTATTACTATAATTGAATTTCATTTTTAGATAAAACCAGAATGACTAGGCTGTCTAGAACGTAATAAGTACATAATAAATTTACGATAAATGAATACCATTTTTGTTTATCACGAATACTGAGTGGGGAACGCGATAATGAAACAAATTATGTATGTAGGTCTTCGTTATCACTATATAATACTAATGGTTCACGTATCTATATCTATGACTGCGTAGTTATTGGTTTGTAGTGATAGTTTGTGAGGCGATTTCCTTTTAAAATTCAACTTTCTGGAATTAACCGACTTGTAAAGCGTCTAGCCCTAGACATACTGTCGTTTAAATCGGAATTTAAAAATCTTTTGACGTGTTGGTAGTATTTAAATGTTAATATTGCGTAAGGGACATAGGTAGAATATGGTATTGACTGTGACAGAACACCTTCCTGCATTGAAGGCAATCAAAATTTCAGTCTTCTTTTTTCACAAGAGACAGAGAGACGTTTTCTATTCAGCAAGGATTACTCATGTTTTCAAATTTTTCACACCCTTCTATACCAATTAAACTTAAAAAATACGTTAGTCTGACATTATTCCTATAGTTTTGCATAAATATTTAATGGCTACCTAGACTGAATATTATTTTGATTGTATTCTAAATAAGAATGAATTTATAAACAAAAAAAGTTTAAAAGATTTTCAACACATACCCTATTTACTTGCAATATATAATATGTTTCGGCAGTGAGTAGTTTTGTCAGGTAACATTACCTAATTACTATATGAGTGTGTAAATTATATTTTATCGATTTTAATAGATGGAAGATCTTCTATTATAAAACAAGATTACTATAAAAATGCTTTCTGATGCAAGTTCAGATACTTACTCTATTTTCTTTTTACCAAAACTGGATCAATATCGCTCTGATTCTTTTCCACGAAATTCCCTTTTAAATCAGGGCCCCTAGGCAACTATTCTATAGGGTTGTTCGGAAAGTCATTTCGTTTTTTCCCGACAGAGGATTTAATTGTATTCTTTTGCACCCAACTTCACATAATTTTTATATGCTTTGAATATGCTTTGAGAGCTCATATAGCAAGGCTTGTGTGTGAAAAATTCCAATTAATTCTACGCAGTAGTTTTTGGTTGGTGCCCTTTTAAATATGGAGAGCGATAAGCAGCATTTTCGACATATCTTACTGTTTTACTACAGAAAGGGTAAAAATGCTGTTCAAGCCAGAAAGAAATTGACTGATGTGTATGGAGAAGGTGTGTTGACAGTACGCCAGTGCCAGAACTGGTTCGCTAAATTTCGATCCGGCAATTTTGATGTCGAAGATGCACCACGTTCGGGAAGGCCGGTTGAAGCTGATAAAGACGCGATAAAGGCATTAGTTGATGTGAACCGGCGAATAACAACACGTGAGATCGGATTGAGGTTAAATTTATCAAATTCAACAGTTTATGACCACTTGAAAGGCCTGGGATTATCCTCGAAGCTCGATGTATGGGTTCCCCATGTTCTCACAGAGAGAAATCTGTGTCGCCGCATTGACGTCTGCGATTCGCTTCTCAAACGTCACGAAAATGATCCGTTTTTGAAGCGCATCATCACTGGGGACGAAAAATGGGTTGTATACAACAACGTCAAACGCAAGAGGTCATGGAGCAAAAAAGATGAACCGGCTCAAACCATTTCCAAAGCCGATATTCACCAAAAAAAGGTGATGCTGTCTGTTTGGTGGGATTTTAAAGGAATCGTTTTTTTTGAGCTTTTACCGGATAACACAACGATTAATTCGGAAGTCTACTGTCATCAGCTGGACAAACTGAATGATGCACTTCAACAGAAAAGGTCAGAACTAATCAACAGGAAAGGTGTAGTGTTTCACCAAGACAACGCGAGACCTCACACAAGTTTGGTCACTCGCCAAAAGCTTTTACAGCTTGAATGGGATACAATGCTACACCCACCATATTCTCCAGACCTGGCACCATCGGATTATTATTTGTTCCGGTCACTCCAAAATTTTTTAGACGGTAAAACCTTCACCTCAAATGAGGAGGTCAAAAACCTCCTCGATCAGTTTTTTGCCAGCAAAGACCAAAAATTTTATGAGCGTGGAATTATTCTACTACCAGAAAGATGGCAAAAGGTGTTGGACCAGAACGGTCAATATATAAATAATTTAATAAAGTATTTGTTTATTATACGAAAACTGTCTTTCATTTCCACAAAAAAAAAACGAAATGACTTTCCGAACAACCCTATAGTTTTCACTAGATAATATTAGGTGCAACAGTATATATGATAAATGGATTTAGTTGAATTCAGAATGCAATTGTACATTAACATACACAAATATTTCATCAAAACAAACCTGTCATTGTATAATTTAATAGTGAAACTTTATTACTATTTGCCTATCACTACATTGATTTCCGACCCTCCTCAGTAAGTTGTCTATCAACAACAGCCTGTGGAAGTTTAGAACTTCCAATCTAATCGCAAGTGAAGGACAATTAAAAGCTCTTACCGTACTTGAGACCACCTTTGCCTGCAGGAATATTACCATTCGGTTCTAATCTGTCTAGGAACTCGTCACTGTACCCGTTATAAGGCAATTTTCCATGGTTCTGGTGTTCATCTGATTCCTCCTTTGAAACCGCTAAAACAAAACAGAAAAAATACTTTTAGACACTTCAGAATCCATATTTTGTTCAAATTTCAATTCATTTTCTATTTCGTTCAAGAAATTGGAAAAATTGCAATTATATTAGATGCCCACTGTCTCATTAAAATTGTATTAATTTTTAAAAATTTCCTTTAACTTGAAAAGGTTTTTTGGAAAATATCGTATTTTCGTTAGTTGAACTAAATTTATTACCACAAAAATGAATACAAATTCAAAAGTACAATTTTAACTTATCTTTGAAATGCTATTTCATGCTCATTTTGAAAACTTAATTACAACATGTTGGATATAAGCAATTTTAATTAATATTCTAAATTATGTATTCAGTATCACAACATGGTTTCGCAGTTTTTAACGCCCTCAGCGTGTTCTGTTAAGATAATAAATTCCTTTCAATGGTAATGAAAATGAAATTTTCAGTAAGTTTGGAAATAAATCTCAGAGGCACTGTTAAAAAAACCAAGCATGCCGACAAGTGTAAATAAATTTCTACAAAAGAGTGTTGAAAACGATTTTCCCCTGCGGCAGCGTCATTTGAAACCCAAATGGCGTTTTCCGGGCCGCTCTCGATTCCACTTCAACAGGGGTTTGATTTTAAAAGACAATGTGACGGACAGGGCGACTTGGAAAAGTGACACCCTCATGAAAATGCATTAAATCCGAAAAAGAAAAGAAGCGACGCTTTTGTATTTTAAATCGCACACCGATTATGTTAAAATATTTCTTTCATTCTGCAAATCGTAAAACTCTTCCAGGATTCAAATTAGCTCAGAGCACATAAAGAGAAATGGAATAAAAACTGCAAATTAATTCTATATCACAAATTTGTTGTTAAGTTTTTAGACCAAGAAATTAATTTTCATAAGCTTCCATGGCGGTTGGTGTAATACGAATTTTGTTTCAAGTTGAGTTGGAGCGCTCTGTAATACCTACACCAACAATAAATGGCATATTTGATATGCCTTGACGTTCTTCGGAGTTACCATTCTTTACTGTATTCGTCACTTTCAAGCTCAGCAAATACATACAAGAAACTATGACATAGGACGAAAAAAATCACGCGTTTTTCTAGAGAACATTAAAACAAGGTACCTNATGTGAAAATGAAGAATTGCAAGACGGTCCGGTTCAGTTTCGACAGGTTCGTAATTTAAACTGAGACAGGTGGGTACACATCTTGCTGTTAATTAAATTGGATTTAGGACGTTTATAGAGTAGTCCTTGGGAAGGTCAGAACGGAACGAACCAATTGTACTAAATACCATAACTGAAGGAGGCCGTGATGCCGTATAATGAATATGACAAGAAGAACTACTTCATAAATAGTTCAGTGGAGGTGTGTGAATATTTTATAGTTTGTTAAATATGTAGTTCATTGAAATCCTATAAAAGACGCGATAAAAGAAAATAATTCCTCTAAATGTAGCCTTGTATTACAGATGGCGTTTATCGCACTGTTTGTTAGAAAATATAATATGCTAACAAATGCATATTACTGACTAAATAATGTTTATTAAACGCAGTATTCTACTTTAATATGTAAAATAGTTTCAATATTTCACTATTTCCTGCACATTGTGTACAGTACGTAGTTTCAAATTCCATTATCAAAACGCCGCTATGAGAAATGTCTCCGAATGAACCGATTAAGTATTTTCATGTGCAGTTTCAATAAATGGTAAAATATGTACAATGTTAAATTGGTTTTCGGATTAGGGTTACGTAAGTTCGAATGAAAGACTGTGCCTGTTCGTTTTTTTAACAAGGTTTTGTTTTCAACCCACATATGTATTTATACAGAATGATTACTGAAGAAAGATCTTTATTTTTTTCCTACATTTCCTCACCACTAGTACCATTTTCCCGCGTTCAATTTTTTCTCCTTTTCTGCTTACTTAATCTTAAGCAATTAGAATAGCAATTTTTGGAAAATTGCTCGAAGCGTTTAATTTCTCATTGGGGCACTCCTTATCATTAAATAAGCATTAAATTTTTCATGTATCTGATTAGATTCTGCTGACTGTACTTCTCCTACTAAATGTAGATCATTTTCTTTGACCACTTTCTTAGTACCATGCAAAAATCAAAATTCAATTTTTCCTAGAAATTTGTAGATACAAATTACTATCGAATGTAACTCTACATTACTCACAATGAGTTTAATGGTTATATTTCCACACATATAACATTTGAGTGAATTTTCTTGACTTTTCCAGCTTATATACTGGCCGTTCTATGTTAAACTGATGTTTTCTTAAGTTTCCTGTCATTCCAGAAAATGAAGTAGTAAGAAATACTTTTCAAATGAGGGTTCTCTCTAAGGATCGTTTATTTTTACTTTTGTTTTTAATTTTAGCTACATTAATCAATCAATATTACGTTAATGGTATACATATATATCCCTTGACTATGTGTCAGGACAGTGACTTTATGTTCAAAAATATTTCTTATATACGTAAAAACGGAAAAAGTTTTCAATTGAAAGAGAAAATTGCCCTTCGTGAAGCGATGAAAGGGACGTTACTAAGGGCGCAATTCGATTTTATTGCATCACTTTATAAATTACACGAATGAAGTAATGCCCCTTAATCTAATCAAGGAATAGGCTGCTCCTGATCCCGTTCCGCATCCCAAATCCAATCGTCCGAAAACAAGTAGCGAACAATCGTTTGTTTTACGATCTCTTTTCGGCTACCAACTGCCTCTCTCTATTGTTTCCGATAACTGCACGTCATTTGCCGAGAATAATCCAATTTCACGTCGATCATCATGAATTAAATGAACGAAATTGAGAGAGATCGACAGTGAGCAACAATCTTGAGCTAAAATTTCCTTAATATACCTATAGACGAATCGTCCACTTTGCTAACGATAAGTGCATACCTAAAAAAACGTTTCATCTAAACAAGATGATAAATTACATTCAATTTTTATTATTGGATGACTCATTTTTAAGGTTTTGTACTCCCAAGGGAGCTAGAATTAAATTTGTCTTCGTCTTAAATCTGGCCAAAAAACGTTGCTGGACATCGTATTTGCCCTTACCTTTATTTATACCATTATACATGAGATATTATTAAGTGATACAGGTCAAGATTCTAGAGTAACACGTTTAGAGTGGTGATTTTCGAAAGGTCATACTTTTTATTCCATTAACTTATAAAGTTTTTATAGGAATATGGAATCTTTTAGGTATTTGGTCTATTAACACGAGCAGAAGTTATGGAATTGCAATAATTACTTGATGAAGTGTTTTGGAACTCTAAAGCATTTTAAGTAAAGGATTTGGGCTTGGAATTCTTTTGCTAAAAGCTTTGCCACGAGCAGAAGTTGTAAAAATGGAAAAAATACTGCATGAAGTGTTTTGGGATTTGATAGTTGCTGAAATGGAAAAAATACTTCATGAAGTGCTTTGGAACTCAGTAAATTCGAATCCAAGAGCTAAAGCATTTTAAGTAAAGGATTTGGACTTGGAATTATTTTAGGAAACACATTGTTCATCTCTGTAAGAAAAACCTAAAAAGCGTTTCGAAATCCAACATTATCTACAGTTAAGTCTTTTACAGTAACTGACAATAAATAGGAATTTCCTTGCTATCAGTCGGTCAGTTTCACACATACAACATTGAGGATATTCGACCAGTTCCCGCGTCCCGTTTCGGGAAGAAGAAAATTACGCGGGGCAGATGGGATACCACTCGGGACGGACTGACTTACCGTAATGTACACGTCCTGCAGGCAGCCCTTCCGTTATCACGTAAAGCTTTAAAGAATATAGAACAAAACCTCTTCGGAGGGTTGAAAAGCAATTCATCCGATACACAGGACGTGCGGGTTGCATGTCCGTCACGGATCCGAGACGTGACGCTCAGACACCGCGCAGCGTCGCCATATAACTTCATCCCGTGGGATTCAGCGTCCACCGCATATCCTCTCGGATGTGAAAATGAAGAATTGCAAGACGGTCCGGTTCAGTTTCGACAGGTTCGTAATTTAAACTGAGATAGGTGGGTACACATCTTGCTGTTAATTAAATTGGATTTAGGACGTTTATAGAGTAGTCCTTGGGAAGGTCAGAACGGAACGAACCAATTGTACTAAATACCATAACTGAAGGAGGCCGTGATGCCGTATAATGAATATGACAAGAAGAACTACTTCATAAATAGTTCAGTGGAGGTGTGTGAATATTTTATAGTTTGTTAAATATGTAGTTCATTGAAATCCTATAAAAGACGCGATAAAAGAAAATAATTCCTCTAAATGTAGCCTTGTATTACAGATGGCGTTTATCGCACTGTTTGTTAGAAAATATAATATGCTAACAAATGCATATTACTGACTAAATAATGTTTATTAAACGCAGTATTCTACTTTAATATGTAAAATAGTTTCAATATTTCACTATTTCCTGCACATTGTGTACAGTACGTAGTTTCAAATTCCATTATCAAAGGGCAAAAATTAAGATTGTTAGGCGCGATAGTCAACATAATGCGACAAAATATATTATTCCACTTTAGTAGTAGGGAATTACACCGCCGCAAGACACTTTACGCTCTGGAATAAGCCTGGTGTTAATATACATTACTACGATAAATTTGCAGCTACAATACAGCGTGAAATTTTCGTTCTAAATTAAACAAGAGCAAATACATGTACCTCTTAGGGCATTTATTTAGGCAAATAAGTACGAAAGTAATAATCAAAATAATGATTTCGAATTTTAGGGCGTTAATCATATAAAAATACGAACAAACACAAAAAAAAAATCTAAAAGGAGTTTCCTAATGTTCTTTAGCATGTCTGCAAGCCAAGTACACTTAACTGAATTTTAATAAACATAAGTGATTTAAATTGCAACAACCCCTTTTGATATACCAATATTAGCATCTAGCAAAATAAAATGGAAGCGATATCGACAAAAGAGTATTGTATGAAAGTAAATAAAAGTAAAACATAAATATTGGTAT